TCGGGGCTAAAATCATGGTCTCGACCGCTGACTGCCAGACAATTGACGGCACAAAACAATTGTTAACCGAAGCCCAGGGGTTGGGACCCATTGGAGGGGTATTTCATTTGGCACTCGTTTTGAACGACTGTCTTCTGGAGAACCAAACGGTCGATAAGTTTTGCGAAGCGATTCATACAAAGCATAAAATTTTCGCAAATTTGGATCAAATGAGTCGACAATTGGATTATAATTTGGATTATTTTGTGGTCTTTTCGTCGATAACTTGCGGCAAAGGAAATGGAGGTCAGTCTCAGTACGCGTTTGGGAACTCCATGTGTGAACGCATTTGCGAAGAAAGGCGTAGGGATGGTCTGCACGGACTGGCCGTACAGTACGGACCCATCGGTGATGTGGGAGTGTTCACAGACGCCGACCAATTGATACAAATGACAAACTTTCAAAAACAACGGATCCACTCGTGTTGTGATGTTTTGGACAAATTGTTGGCAATGAATGCACCGATTGTCACGTCATTTGTAAGTCTATTATTATATACATTATCATAGAAACTGTAAATAAATCGTTAAATATAAATTTTATATATAGCTTGAAATTTATATAATTTGTTGGTTTATTGTCTTAAGTTTGTCATCAAATTTTTAAATAATCTTATTTGTTAAATTTGATCGATACTCTAAATTTAAAAAACAATATTAATGTTATATTCATTTTACACACAAATCAGGTGAGGGCTGAACGGGCCGTCCAAACCGGTGGGACTCGTCAAAAGCGAATGGTTAAGGAGTTATGGCGGGCACTGGGCATAGACCCGGACACCACCCCCGACCACCTAACCCTGGGTGAGATCGGAATGGAGTCGATGTTTGCGGTGGAGTTACAGCAGGAACTGGAGAGGGAGTGGAACATCAAGATGTCTATAAATCACGTCAAGAATATAACCATCAAAATGTTGAAGGACTACGAGGCCGGACGGGTAGAGAATATCAAGCGCTACGTGGACGACGTAAAGGTAGCCCGTGCCAAGTTGGCCAAGTACCGATTTGTCATACCCAAGGACCAAACCACTCGAGTTAACAATGTTATGGAGGGAAAGCCGGTCTACTTTATGCCTACATTTGACGGCGGGTTCCGCCAATTTGAAGAATTTGGCAAAAAGATCGATCGCCCGGTGATTGGCCTCAACTGGACCCGTGATCTGGATAATTACCACACGCTAAAGGAGTATGGCAAATATTTCACCAAGCTACTCGAGCAGTTGGAGCCACAGGGTAACTATGATGTGGTGGGCTATTTCGATGGGGCGATGATCGGCACCAAACTGTTACGAAAGGCCGGCATCTCGAAGGCTGTAATACTAGACGTGTTGTCTGAATCCCGGTTTAACGAGGACTATGTGACCGACGAGTATATCCTGGACTTCATATTCGAGTTCATATCTTATGAGATACCCGAGTCGTTTAGGGAGAAAATCAGGCGTGATATGAAGAATGAGCAAGGTATCGACAACCGTATTCGTAGGGCGTGCTCAGAGATACGGGAGTTTGCCGGCAAAGGACTCGTAGCCACGGATTTGGAGGATATCATTAAGAATGCGTTCAAAAGGGCTAAACTGTTGTCCACTCATAGAGTGGAGAAAAAGAGAAATATGTCGGCATTGAAGCTAAATATTGCCAGAAAGTGGGCTAAAAGGACGGGTAAACTCGTTGTCATTAAGCCCCTGGAGTTCGTCCAGATTCAGGACGAACACGAGTTTTTAAGTAAAGCGCGTGAACTGTACTTCCTGCCAGATAACCCTGCTCATGTAAGCAATCAAATAAGCTATCATAGATACTTTTTAACATATTCTTATTATACATGTATGTTTGATAAAGTAATAATGATTATGTATTAATTGATGACCAGGATAATGACGACAATTGTGCCATTGATTTCGTTAAAGTGGATGAATGTCCGTTCGCAGTAGCGTCCGAAAAGATTGGACAAAAGGTGCTGGATGCTCTTAATGATTGAGTCGTTTCATCATTTATATCTTGATGAATAACACGAATTTTAGCATTGTTTACTACATTTTCGATTTCTTTTTATTTTACCATTTGCCAAGCTATTATATTTATATTTTACATTAGGCTTTTACTTTTTATAATCAATTATTTTTATTATTTACTTTTATTTTATTTTATATAATTTTGTAATAATTTTTTATTTTATAAATTTTGTTATTCAATTATCATTATATAATTAATTAAAAAGGTGGACAAATGTGCTACTACTTGTATAACTGCTACTACTTATATTTAATAAGAATAATAATTTTTTATTTGTAAATCTTATTATTATTCTTAGAATTAAAATAAAAATTAAAATAATTGTGAACGTGTAATTTAACACGTTTCACAATTTGTTTGCGCAAAATATTTGGTAATTTAATTTATTGGAATTATTTAAATTAAATTTTATTAAAACGACTTTTAAATGCAATTAAATAATATTTTATTTGCATATTAAAGACTTACAAATACGGTGATAAATAATTAAACAGTTTTAATACCATAGACTTTGCAATGCATTAAGAATGAAACTTATTTTTGTTTAATTAATAATCAACGATAATTATACTAATTATATATAACTAAATATACATTACATCCAACAATCCTTGGCTTTTTTATATGATGTGTAGAGATTATATTTTTGTATAACCTATATGAAATAAATCCAAGAATTTCTTATAAATTTTGTAAAAAATGTATTGATTTTATGTTTTATTAAAATTATTAATTTGCATTTGTTTTATAAATTACTTAATTTAATAAAACAATTAAAACATTTTGCATTTATGCAAATTAAAATATATGATTTTATATTTAAAAATAAATATTTATATTATAAGATTTGGGATAAGATTATAAAATATTATTATATAT